GGAAAGGCCTCCGTGCTCCACAGCCTGGTGATCATGGTGAGCTTTCCGTCCAAAACATGATAACAACTCAGACCCCATAGGGGCTGGGGAAGGGGTTTAGAGAGGTGGGCTTCACATCTGGGTGGCATTCTATGGCATCTAAGTATCCCACATCCAGTACCTGTTTGGGCCCCAGAATAGGCGTGAGTCACCACACAGGTGAGCCTGGCTTTGCAATCAACAGCCCAGGCAGAGTCACAGGCGAGCTGACCTTGGGCAAGTTGGGTAGCATCTACCTCATGGAGCTGCTGAGAGGGTTAATGATAGAACATTTACCACAGCGCCTGGCACATAAGAAGCCTTAGCTGCTACAGAGAAAGACCTCCCAGAACTCCCCAAATCTGCCCAAGCCAACTGTCTTGCATGTTCCCCCTGACATGTCATCTTGTGAGTCCCCAATCTGGGACCATAGTTGTACCAACCACACCAACAAGATCTACCATGAAAGCTGTCCACTAGCCATCTCTTGCTCATGCAGTTACATTCCCCAAAGTGCCTGGACCAACGTTTTCCCACTCCCCAGCCCATAGCCCCATCCATACCAACAGACGACCTGTCTCCCACTTGGCTGAAAAGAATTGTTTCCTTGACTTGCTCTTTCCCGCTTCCAAATGTCACCATCCTCAGACCTTCCAACCTGTCCCTCGACCCTCCCTCTTCTCTGACCTCCTTGCCAAGGCAGATCTGCCATCTGTTCTCCCTATCCCTCCTCCTCCCATCCTCACCAGAAACTCCTCCCACCCCTTGTGCTCTCTGGACCTTGAGTCTGCCACCTCTCCGTCTTCGGCTCTTTCTAAGTCTGCTCAAGGCTTCACTTCAACCAACCTGCTTCAACCAACACATTTATCATAGAACAGCCTCTCCCGCCATGTCGCCAACCACACACTTCCATCTCTTACAGCGTGGCTTCCACTCCGTTCACAGGGCTTGCTGAACCAGTCCAACGACATCTCCAACCATGCACCAGGGCCTTATCTCAGCCCTAATACCGGAACTCAAGAAACAACCACTGAGTGTCTTTCTGCTCATGGGATGCTGACTGCACTTCTAAGTCTGGTCTCCACTGACAAGAGAGGCTTCATTATCCCAGGTTATCAGGATGCTCCACTGCCGAGGCCTGGAGTGGAGTCCTGTGGACTCTGGGTACCAACTGTGGCTGGCCACAGTGACTTACAAATAAATGGAGTTCGAATGACCCATTTTGGCCACCCACTAACACTGGCTACACCCAAGACTCAAACTGTGCAGCTTGAATTTTCTCCCACAGGGTCCTAAGTCCCTCATCTCCCAACTTGGGCAGAATGTGGTGTGTGGGTTTAAGGGAGAGGGAGGGTGTGTGGACGGCTGGACTCCTGCAGGAGGCAGCAAACACTTAGGGAACCGACTCCACTGTGTGCCAAACACCGTGCCTGATGCTGGGGACAGAGAGTGAGAGTGATGTGGTCCCTGCCTCCGTGGAGCTCAGAGTGCGGAGAGGGGCAGACATTGAACAGATGATCACATGGGTTAATCACAAGTGTGCAAGTGCTCTGAAGACAAGTACAAGATGTAATGATAACACCCACTGGGGGGCCAGAGGGAGGGGGGCTAACACTGATTACTTCATCCCTTGAGTAGTCACTTCAGATCCCTCCTTCTTTGGCCTGTGATCGTGAATTCTAGCAGGCTTCCTCCTGTCCCTGATCACTACTACCATCCTGTATTTAGGGCCTCGCCATTCTGATTTTGGATTCTTTCTCTGCTCTAGATCCTCCCCCTTGTTGATTTCATTCCCTTCCAGCAACACCAGGACCATCTAGGTGAATCCTATGCCTCAATCTGTAGCCCTCAACTCTGACAGCAACACTTCCAACTGCATTATGGACATCACCTCCTGGATGATGAGCAGGCTCCTTGGATGCAAGCTGGCCAAAGCCATACCCATCCCTGCTCCCACTTTCTCCATCAACTCCTTCCAATGTGTGTTCCAACCTTCCCAATCACCTAGACTCAGAACCCCCAGGACATCTCTGACATTCCCCTCTCCCATCAATGCCAAGGCATACAAAGTCTTTGCCCTTAATATCTCTTATATCTCCCCCTTCTTATCCCTTTTCACAACCAACCAGCTTCAATACCTCAAGTTTAAACTATTTTAACAGCCTCCTAACTGGTCTCCCTGCTTCCACCCACCAAACAAGCCATGAACAGATTAACTAACTTAAGTGACCACTTCAGACCAAGATATTCCACCCCAACTAATTCACTCTACACAAATAGTCACAAAAGTACACAAAGATGTGCAGGAAGAAGTCCCCCACAGTATCACTTACACCAACGAAATGCTGGAATTACCTGCCCACCAATAGGGGACCCGTTTACAAAAGGACACATCCCACAGGAGAATACTGTGCAACTGAGAAAAAACAATCATGTAGATCTGTTTACAGTTAACAAAAAGATCGCCTCAACATACTAAGCTAAAAACAAAATACGATGGGGAATGGTATGTAAGACATAATACTGCCTTTCTAAAGCTACAGATTATACATATCTTTGTGCATAGACACAGAAAAACCAATCTCCTGATGGTGAATAGCTGTAGGGGGAAAGGTTTTTAAAGGGGGTGTGTGGAAGGTCATTTTGAAAAGTGCAGAAACCTTAAGCGTGTAGCTCAATGAATTTTCACAAACTAAACGTCCTTATGTCACCAGCACCCAGGTGGAGAATCAGAGCTTTACTAGGATCCCCAAAGCTCACTTGTGTGTCTTCCAGTCTCTGTGTTGCTCCACAAGGGTAGCCACTATCCTGATCTCCAACAGCAGATACGAGTTTTGCCTAGTTTTGAACTTTTATATACCCCCAGCCCCAGTCAGGAGGCAAAGAATCAATGTATCTCTCTCACATTGATGTTTCTCTCTGTCTGTCCCCCTACCTTCCACTCTCTCTAAAAACCAATGGGAAAATATCCTCAGGTGAGGATTAACAGCAACAACAAAAAGAATAATGCTCTTATAATTACTTTAGTGCATGGTCTGGTGAACACTTGTATCCAGGTCTCTTAGAACTATATGTAGGAGTGGAATTGCTGGGCCAAGGGACAGGCATTTGTTCAGCTTTAGCAGACATTGCCAAATCATTTTCCAAAGTAATTGTACTAATTTATACTCCAACCAGCACCCTGGGGGACTTTCTTTTTTGTATGCTTCTATGTCTCTTGAAGTTTTAGAGATAATGGATTAATTCTATAATGAAAATGAAGGTAAAATACAAATCCTATATAATAAAAGCCCAGCGACCGAACAGCAGAAAGACCAGAATGACCGATCGACCAGTCGCTATGATGTGCACTGACCACCAGGGGGCAGACACTTAATGCAGGAGCTACCCCCTGGCCCCTGGTGGTCAGTGTGCTACCACAGGGGGAGTGCCGCTTGGCTGACCGGGATGAGTGGCTGCTCCAGCTGCGAACCCCAGGCTGATGGGCAGAAACCCCAGGCTGCGATCTTCGCCTCCTCGCCCCAGGCTTCTCCTCCTCCTCACTCCCTGCCGCCTCCTCCGGACCACAGCACCACGATGGGCTCCCAGAGCTGACCCCAGAGGCTGGGAAGCAGGTTTGTGGCCACCACGGGACTCAGGCCTACTGTGCTGCCTCTCAGTGCTATTGTCCCTGGGCCCAGCCCCGGCCGGGTCCCCTGGAGAGGCGAGTGCTCTGGCTCCACGGAAGATGCTGGACCAGGGAGCAGCCGCTCAGAGGGCAGGTCCACAGCCGCTCGGCTGACCCAGATGAGCTGTGCTCCCACAGCAGGCCGATTCCCACAGGCCACGCCCCCCGCCCGTCACGAATCCTGTGCACCGGCCTCTAGTTTATAAATAAGTCACATCTGCAATCAGGCTATAATCCCATTTAAAGCCTTGGAATGGCTTCCCACTGCCTGCCAAGGTTCAACTTTTGCATCCAAGCATTCAAGACTCCGTTACCTGATTCCCTCCCCATCTGCTCCTGGTCTCCTTCAGCCTCCACACCCCAGCCCAGCTAGGCACCTCATCACTCACATACATCCTCAGTAACTTCCTCATCCTGGTTTCCTCTCCTTTACTTTCCTACTCCCTCATCTTCCCTATCAACATTCTAACCATCCTCCAGAGCTAAGACTTAAATAACACTTAAAATTATCAGGCACTCATCAAACTCTTGGGGCTTTTGTAAGGATTAAGTATAACAATCAGATAATGTAATAATATAATACCATTTAATCTTCAAGATGTCCAAGGTGGGTGGTGGTGCTCAGTAAGCACTCAACAAAGGTGGCTATTATGAAATTATTAACATTTTGCCAGATGCTATGCCAAGTGTTTGACATAGGCATCATCTCATTTGGTATGTAAGGCATATACTCACAATAAGTCATGAGATAACTATTACCTGATTTTGCAGGGTAATAAA